GTCGTAGTCAGACGCGATGCCATTTCGCCAGACGGCCTTGCTAACGGTAGCTTGAATGTTAAACTGAGAGTGACTGACATTGATGGCCATGGATAGGTTCTCAAAATGTCACGTTTGCATCACAAACAAAAATGACCGACGTAGGGGTCGAACCTACAATCTCCTGATATACGGACTCTGTCGTAGTCAGACGCGATGCCATTTCGCCAGACGGCCTTGTCAGCGGCAGCTTGAATGTTGATTCAGCCTGACTGACATTGATGAACAGGGAGAAGGAAGCTTCAAGCCTGAGGCCGCAGCCTGAAGTCATCCTCTTTATAGTCCTCTGGAGCCTGGACAGTATTGATACATTCGCAGTACAAACACAATACAGGGGGAGGCGCGCTACAAGACTCTAGTTTGGTTCCATCTACTTGTCCAAGTCCACCTATGTATGAGTTGCGACAAAATGAGAAGATTCAGATACACTTCTAGCCCGATGCAGTCTGACAAATTATAACACAGTCCCGGAGCGAGCTCCAATGAAAGGGACTTAGCTTATCCAAGTGGCCAGGAAGAGTACACTCAGCGACGTCGCGACCAGCGCGCCAACGGTGCTCAGCGCCAGCCCCCCTCCAGACGACTGTGCCTCCCACGGGCTGCCCGCGTCGCCGCTTACGTCGGTCTTGAGCGTATTACAATACGTTTCATTAAAGACGGAGGTCGGGAGCAATACCTTGAGGTAGCGTACGTCAACTTGAACGGCCCGTGTAGCCTAAAATACAGCGGAAACGACGTACCGCAGGCATGCCTGACTGGCTGGTCCACGATACCGCACCGCCGGCACCAGCCTTGGTCGTCACGCAGCTCAGCGCGTCGATGAGCTCCTCGCCTGACGTGTAGTTCGTGCTTCCGATGGACCAGCTCGGCGAGGACGACCCGCCCACGTTCGTGAGCAACGCAAGCAACGGCGCTTTCGATACGGCAAGCTGCGACGAGGTTGACACGGGGAACCCCACCTGTCCGGCGTTGGTCAGCTGCGCTGTGAAAGAAGGGCGGGACATACGGGTGTGCGCAAGAAGGCTGCGTTGTTCCACCCGATCGCGGCCTTGCGCGCCGCGTTCAGCGAGCGGACATGGATCACGAGCGGTCTGTTCTCCTCGTAACCTGAGAGCCAGAGCCTGCCGCGCCGTTTCTAAGCGATTTTCAGAGCACAATGGTTGAAGATACGTACGCCTCGCGGTTATCTGGGTCGTTCCCTCCTGCGTACCCTTGCTCCTGGCCGTAATACAAGATCGGCAGCCCGTCCTGAACGAACACCCATGTCATCGCGTTCATTATCAACTACGAACACGGTCAGCACTGCTTGACTTCGAATTCAGAGTATGCTTTACCCACCGATTGATCCGTTGTGAGCGATGGGAAGCGCGGATTGTCCTGATTCTCGAGAAAAGCTCCGGTCATAAACGTGCCGAGCCTGTACGCTGACTGTGAGTCGTGTACTGACGAAGCGAGTTGGCTCAAGTCTCCCGACGTGCTTTGGAAGCCACGAGTGAGGGGGTAGAAGTCGGGGTAGTCAAGTACCGCGTCGAGGTATCCTGGTGTATGCACGTGATCAGCTTGCGAGCAGAGACGGACGCCCGAGTACGCACCTGTGTAGTTGGCGACATACGCGATGTCGCCGTCGAGCACCTCAGCAATGCTCCACACAGTAGCGCTCTGCGCGAAAGCAGGCCAGAAGTCCTTCCGGACATGCTTCACTGTGTCGAGGCGTAGTCCATCAATGCCGTAATTCTCGACGAGATCAGCGATCCACCCGTTGAAGAACGCGACGATGTCCGGGTTCTCAGTGTCGACGTCCGCGAGGGGTACCGACGAGTCACCTAACCAGCACTGCTCAACGTCCGTCTGGTTGTTGTAGTCGGTGATCCAGCAGAACGGGTGGAAGGACGACTGGTTGTTGAACGGCGTGAATGCAGTGTAGTTGACTGCGGGCGGAATTGACGAGTCGGAGGCGTTGGACGGGGCCGAGAGGAGCGGAGCTGCCATGTCGTTAACCACTACGTCGACCATGAGGTACATGCCGCGCTGGTGCAGCGTGTCACTGAGCAGCTTGAGGTCGCCGTCCGTGCCGAAATGTTCGTTCAAGCGTGTCTGGTCGATCGTCCAGTAGCCGTGGTACGAAGTGCCGTCGCCGGTGTCGCCTTCGAGGTTCGCTACGACGGGTGAGATCCAGATGGCGTCAAAGCCCATGTTCTGGATGTAGTCGAGCTTGGATATGACACCTTGCCAGGTGCCATTGCAGTACTGTCGCTGCGAGGTGTCGCACGGTGGACTCGACCCATCGGAAGTTGCGAACCGGTCGGTCACGAGCTGGGATGCTTCTTGAGTGGATGTTGTGCGGACCTACAATAGCCACATACCTGGTAAATGGAACGACGTTGCCAATCTTCATACGACGCAGCGAGAACCGAAGTACTAGCTAAGAGGATCAGGTAGCCGAACTGCCGCAATTGCATACCGTAGTTCTGATAGGGGGAGATACTGTTATGTCAGATAATGTCTGGGGATAGGATGTTCTATGCAGTGGATGGGTGCTAGGATATATGTCGGATAGAGCTGTTCTACGGCGGGGGGTTGAAACTCGGTGTCGCCGGGGAGTCGAGGTCGAGGTGGGTGCTGACCTGTGTGCATGAGCCCTGACGAGATCCCTGAACCAGGCAGTTGCTATCTATCTTTGATGACCTTCTAAGCCTCCTTGCTGTCTACTTTGAGATGTCTTCTGCCAGCCCACGTCGTACGACAGCCAGGAGCCTGGGCCACGCATGAGGTAGGACGATCCTGCTGGCTGTAGCCTGAGCATGCTGCATGACAAGAACCCAATATATATGTAGCAACTAAGATGGTAGGCTGCATGCGAGCGTGCGGCATGAGTCCTAAACCCTGCCATGGCCCGGCCAGTGACGTCGATCGAGGAGAGCCAGCGATAGGTCAGAGTGTGCGTCTCAAAAAGGCATCTGTTGTGGTTTGACGCCCTCATCACTTCCCTGTCACACAACTCCTCGTGCGCGTAGGGCGCTGATCGTCGAGCGCCATCCCGATCGCCCTTTCGTAAGCCGCGACAAGAAAGATTCTTCACAATTCTGACGAGTTACAGGGAGCCCAGTAGGAACTGCAGACATGAATTTTTACATGCCTCATGCTGGAGAAGACGACGGGGAATTGGCACCCGTGAGATACGGAATGGTATAAGTAGTGTAAAGGGGAATCTTCCAAATACGTATGTACCAAGCGTGAACCAAGCTGCAGAGATGCCCCAGGTAAATGTATACTAATTGAAACCGAATGCAGAGTACGAATGCAGATGCAACAGATGATGACAAACACGAAAGCGAAGTAAACTAATCGATACGTACACTACTTACAAGTCGCCTGTCTCGTACAGGCCATCCACCTCCTCTTCCGGATTCAGCTCGAAATCCGGCATGTCCTCCAGGTGCAGCTCGTGCTCAGGGCGCAAGTTCAGGCTTCCCGGCGACGAAGTTACCGTCGAGAAGTCTGCGGTCGTCGGAGAGATGTTCCCCGGCTCATGCCGCACTTTCTCCTCCTGGCCTATGCCAGGGACAGGGCCGCTGCTAAGCCTCGCCAGGACAAGCGTCGGAGACGCGGGCGACGCAGGGCGGTCCGAGAAGCCGGAAGAGTGATCGCGCTCGCGCTCGCGCTCGCCTGGCCCCAGGCCCGCAGGGGAGAGCCCGTCCTCGTGCAAGAGCATGCTCATATTGCTCGGCGGGCCGGGGAACAGCGACGAGGACGTGCTCATCCGCCTGTCGAAGCGGCGGGTGTCTAGAAAGGGCTCGAGCTCGGGGCGGTTCGCTGCCGCAGAGGTGTATCCGTGGTCGGGGATGGGCGAGGGACGCGGATCGTCGAGCGTCTCGTACTCCCGCAGGAAGGACTGTTTTCGGGGACTACGGCTCCCGCTACGGTTGGTGAGCCTATCAGCAGCGGCCGGGGTGTACCGCGAATAGCTCATGCGCGTAGACTGCGGCGACGGCGCATACTGCAGACTCTGGATCTCCTCCATCGCCACAGCGAGCTTGTCCTCGACCGCCGCGAGCCGGTCCCGCAGCTGCGTGTTCTCCTCCCTAAGCACCTTCGCCGTCCGCTGGCTGTCCGCGAGCGCGCTCAGCAGTGCGCCCGTCTCGACCTGGTGCCGCTCCTGCAGCGCCTGCAGCTCGCTCTGCAGGTGCGCGGACGACGACGCGGACACGGACGTCGGCGCCGTCGACGCCGCCGAGAACGTCGTCCGCGGCGTCTCCGGCCCGCCCAGCTCCGACACCGTCGCGGTCAGCGCCGGCGTGCGCACGATGCTCCCCCGCCGCGACACGCTCGGCGTCTCGCCCCTCGTCCACGAGCCTACCGAGCCCGCCTCCGAGAACGCCATCCGCGAGGGCATGTACCGCGAGCGCGAGTCCTCCGTTGTGCTACTCCGCGTCGTGCCGAAGCGCGACGGCGTCCGCCGTCCGACGCTCGTGCTGTCGCGGTCGCGCGCGTAGCTCTGGTCGAGCAGCCCTGCGGCGGCGAATGCCTTCGCAGTTTGTGGCCCGAGCCACTCTGCTGCTGGCCGCGCATGGGCACGCCCCGGGACGACGGACTGGCCTGCTTCGACGACGCTCAGGCTGCGCTTGCGGTGGCGGAAGGGTGTGACGCGCGTGCTGTCGTCAAGGCTGGGACGGACGTCGAGGCTGGAGCGCGCCAGAGATTGCAGCCGGCTGAAAGACGCCCCTGCCGAGGACGACGGGCGGGAGAAAGCGGGAGAAGGGGTCGGCGACGTGCGCGGTTTCGCGCGTGGAGTCGCGACGTGAGGGCCCAGTTGGGCTGGGCTGAGCAAACGGCTGATCGCAGCTCGGCGTGGAGCACTCGCGGACGACTCCCCCGTACCTGTGTGAGGTCTGCGAGACGCGAACTGGTCGAGACGGTCACGCTGGAGGCCCTCGTGAGCCGTGGACGGCCGCTCGGGGCTATGTGACAGTGCGCGACTCGTGCTAGGCACTCCAAGCGGTGGAGAGGCTGAGTGCGGAGAGGCCGAGTGCTCCCGCTGGATTGCAGGTCGGTCGGACACAGAACGGTTCAGCCGCGAATGCGAGATCGTGGACGGCAGATTGGGCGCAGTGCGCGACTTGGGCATACGTAGGGACTCAGCGTGCCTCGGCGGAGACGACCCGGGCGGGGTACGCGAG